TAAAAATTTTTAGGACTCATTGATCTCAAACATACTATTTGTTTCCAAAAATTCGTTAACCCTTAATTTTATCTAGGTTGCAAGAAGAGTCAACTTAAACCCCAGCCGTAAGTCAATTGTTGAGGGAACGTGGCATAATACGTATTCGGACACAAATAACTGACATATTTTATTCGTGTCGTGCAGATGTTAACCAATTTCACTTCATATTCTATTTCTTCGGCCTTTTGAATTGTAGGGAAGTTTGCCCTTAAAGGTGCCCCCAACTGAAGATAGTCGAGCACGATATTTTCCGGCTGTCACTTTATATAGGTGCTCATAACATAATGAAAGGCTATAATGTGTTTTTGAGCTTTTCGAGACAACAAGAATAAGTTCTCAATATATGTCAGCTAGATGATAGCGTATGGACAGTACAATAGCTTGGTAATACATGCTGTTGAAACTACAGAAAAGAACGGCCCAAACGAATTTCTTCCAAACTTGCTGGCGTACAGCTCATATTAAATTTTCCTGTTTCAATGATTCTTTAACAGTGAACAGCTTGCACATTCTTTATTGGAGGGTAGTAATAATCATACAAAAAACTTCACGTAACGCATGCCGATGCATTTGCACTACAAACTCCCCTCCCCTCTCTCCCTCAACTACTTGAAAACTAATAGGCCAATATGTCTATCTGTATCCGAAGAGTTTGCGTATTATATCTCAGCCGTTGCGAGTAGGCCTGCAAGAGCGGCGCTTGCAAATTTGAGGTTTTTTCGTATCTCATTGCAAAATCAGCTCATTCATCGGCTGATCCCGATCTCGGGGACGGCAGGAAAGCAAGTCAAAGCATGGGGAAAAGGCGGCAAAGCTGGGATACATTGCGCCAGATCGGTGTTCTGCGGCTCCTCAATGCAGATCGCGCTTATTTACTACGTTTTTGAACGGGCATTTCAAAGAAATAATGAGATAAGCAGCGTAAAACAAAACATTTTACAGTAACATTCCAAAATTTTTTTGCCTTTACGTTGAAAAACGTTGTGTGCAATATGTAGCTC